AGTAGTAGTAGTAGTAGTAGTAGTAGTAGTAGTAGTAGTAGTAGTAGTAGTAGTAGTAGTAGTAGTAGTAGTAGTGCCGGTGCAGCCATTGACCGACAGCCGAAAGAAAAACGACACCGGCACTGCAGGGGTTTCCAACAACATACTACTACTACTAGTACTGCTACTAGTACTGCTACTAGTAGAAAGTAGAGGACCGTCCCTTGGGTACCGAGCGCTAGTTCTCGTACTACGATTTGATTACTTTTTTAATTTATCTCCCTGCAGATCCCTGGGGGCAGACACTTGCACGACAACTGAACACCCGCATCTGTACCGTTAGTGCAACTACTGGACAGTGGTAGTAGTTGCATCTGACAGCCACCTTCCTTCCCATTTCCTCAGGGTCTTGTTTAGGACACCTGTTATAGTGGTAGTACTGGCATTGCAGTGGCGTTCGATCTCGTCTCGCCAGAAAATTCCGTGCTCGGACACGGGGGCTGAGGCCACGGACACCAGTGCCATCACCCCCTGCAGGACAGTGGCTCAAAGACACGAGAGAAAGGGAAGGAGTGTACCTTGACTAACCGTTGTCAGTACTAGTAGTAGCAGCCCTGCATTTCCGACCGGCCCATCCTGGTCACAACCAGGACCGGGCGAGGAAGAGTGATACCAGTAATAACTGGCAGGGATATGAACTCCTGGTAAACCGACTACCGACCAACACCGATACAGCGACAGCCGACCGATTGCCTATCTACGGCCAGCGGACCGGAAACTTGAAAGCTTCTGTTCGAAGTCACTCACAACTAGAAGAATCGCCCTGCACGGCATGGCACGGCAGTGAGGTTTGAATTTCCACTGTGATCTACAGGACACTCCCTGTGACGAGATTGTCCGCTGCTGCTGCTTCTTCGTGGTCAGTAGGCGAGCTGTTGCAGCTGAGCAGAAATGCGCCCGTTCCTTGCACTGGGGAGGTGCACGACGTTGCTGGCCTGACCCTGGTCTGACTGCCACGGGCTGATCCAGGAACAACAGTCCGCAAGGCGAGGCAATGCAAGGCTTCCCCCGTGCGGCAACACCACGGACTTGGCTGCTTCTATGACGCCCTGACCATTGACTGACTGCAGTGCGGCTTGCTTGCTCGCTTGCCCATATCTGTCCAGGGTGCTAATTTACTGCTTGAATGTACCTGGTAGGCATTGGATCATCGATGTGACTGACAAATGACTGAGCCTGGTTCATAGCAAAACCGTGACAATGTCCTGAACTTTGGAAGATTGATATATCATTGACGCCCCATTGTCCGTAGCGCGAGAGCCAAGACTGGTGCATGCACCGAGCGGATTTCTCTGCTGCCGACAGCCTGAGATATCCCGACGTGCATAGAATCAATTTAGCCCCAAGACACGGACCGGGAGCGCCGGTTTCCATCTTCACTTTGGTCCATGTCAGGCCAGGATACAACCGACACTCTCACATGCGAGCCTTGCCCCAAGGCCTAGAGGAACCGACTCCATGTGTCCGAAATCGATATTGCAACCGACACGTTCCGGACGGCCATCGACCATACCAGTTACCGGACAAGTGAATGGTCGGCGGCCTCTCCGGTGGAAGTGCTGCTCGGTCTGTCTTTGGACCATGTAGTCTGACACCTTCTCACATGCAACGGTTGTTCAGGATTGCACTTGAACACCGGCATTCTGGGACTCGGGCCTGAGGGCACCTGTCAACGTGCAGCCAGAAACTTCATCATGCAACAGCCCAGACTCCTGTATCAGGCAGTCGGACTGGTGCATTCCCCACAGTCGCCGACCATCTCATTGATGCTGTGCTGCTGCTACAATTATCTGGAAGGGTTTAATCCTTACCATGGTCTGCTTTCCCTGCAACACCCGCCAGGGTCTTCCACGACGTTGTGCAGCATCCGAACTTCAGAAAGCTTGGCTGTCTCAGGTAGGCATCAATCTAATTATAATACTGAGTGAAATCATGTTCGATGCTGGATGTTTTCTGGTCGCCATTAGTCAGAGTAAGCCTGCATTGGGTTGGAATATCAATCGCAACTGCTAATATTCGTGTAGCATCGCATATGTTGTGCGAGGGTAACGGATACTAACCAGCAGGAACACCTTGGTGGCCTCGCCATCCCCTTGAAGGTCTTGCAGGATGCCCAGGAATTTGTCCGTTTCCAGCACCGTGTCTGGGTCGGACTTGCTCACACGGTTCATATTCTTGATGGATCTCGCATCGACATATTTCATGTACTTTTCGCGCCGGATCTCGGCGTATCGGTCCAGAATGCTGTCGTCGGCCTTACCTTGGTACATGCCAATCAGACAGTCTGCAAGGGCTCCGGCGTCAACGATGGCGGTCATACAGCCATAGCCCCCGAAAGGGTTACACACGTGAGCCGCATCGGCGGCCAGGAGGATTCGGCCCACCCTCATCTTGTCGACGCACCGGTTGTGGATGCGGAATAGGTTTGTCTGCGTGACCGTGTACTGGTCCGGGTCCGGGTTTCCTGGCAGGATCTTCTTGAATGCTGCTGCCCGTCGCTGCAGGTACTCTTCTTCGGTGAGCCCGCTGGTGTCTCCGTATGTGACCCGCCAAAGACCGCCTTTGCCACGTTTGGCCGCCAGGCCCCAGAACTCCGGGTCGATGATGTAGTTGCCGCCATCCCAGCCATGCTTCTCGAAGCCATCGTACCACACCTACTCGGAACTGTGTCAGCTCAATGAAAAGTGCACCCGGGACGACAGCGCGGCCAGGTAGGCAAGGTATTGTACGAACATTCTGCACCAACAAGCGGCAGTCAAACGTTTGACCAGGCCAAACTCGTCCAAACAGTGATTTTCTGACTGTGCTGGTCGCGCCATCGCAGCCAACAACATAGTCAGCAGTGAATCGCTTCGTCGTTCTCTCTTCGTTCCCATCGTTGACCTCGACATCAACCCAGGCACAACCCTCGTCCTGGCCGGCATTCGTCACCTTGTGGTTAAACTTCACCTCGACCAGGCCTTGGCCCTTCTCCATACAGTGTCGATACAGAATCTGAAGAATTTGGTTCAACGACAAAATGGTCATACGATCAGGATGATCTTTGACCACGGACAAATCAATGCTCGTCAGTTTCTTGCCGTCAGTGCCGCGTCGCCAACATATGCTTGGAAAACTGGCAATGCTGGCATCGCGGATGTCATCGAGAATGCCGGCCCGCCGAAATATCCGCGTCGCCGGAACACCATATTGAGTCGCTCGAAGACGCTCGTCGAGTCGGTCCCAGCTCTCTAAGACCAACGACGGAATGTTTTGCTGGGAAAGCAGTAGCGCCAACAGAAGCCCGGCTGGACCAGCCCCTACGATGATGATCTAACCGGTAAGCAGGCCTTCGCTTTAGATTCCTGAGAACGGTCCAATAGCCAGCACCTACTTTTTCAAATGCTTTCCTCGGCTCTACCGAACCCATCTTGGCCTTCACAATGTCGGGTGATGTTTGAACACGCCGTTTATCATCAGTTATTCTGGATTACCACCTGAGAGCCTTGTTGGAGGCTAAACAACTGCCTCTCGTAAAGAAGAGGAACAAAGTGCAGTGCGAGTCAACGGAGTGGGGTCATGGAATTGAGGACAGCAAAATCGCATCCGCGACTTACCTTTGCTTTGTCAGAAAAGCCTATAGTAGTATCTTACATCAGTATAAACACGACCAGAGAGCCTTTGTACTTATGGTAGTTGTTGTCCTTTCCATATTGTTTGGCATCGATGAATATCTCATCCTGCCAAAGGCAGAAAGGACGTAGAGGGAGCATGTCAGTGACGGAAGTGAATGGTGAGAGTGTAACATTGCTGAAATGCAGCTGCGCCTCAACAACCGATACTTTTACAGGATGTCCCCGTCGACCATCCTACACTCCTCTGACCACGGTTACCGTAGATGCATTTTTCTGCTTGGTAGGTGCGGACTCGAGCCGGAACTTACGCAGCCATCACCGTGGATATGGAGGCCATTGCATCTGTTCAAAGCGTTTTCCGGCCCTCACTGCTGAACCGTGCTGAGTGCAAGAGGTCTCTGATTCGTGGGACGAATGAAGAACAGACTGAAACCCCCTGAATCCGCCACGGATGATCTGGGGACGGCGTAGGAAGTGGACGAATAGAGGACACGGCCGAAGGCAACATCTAAACTGGATCGAGTTTAACGGCACCGTTAGAGGCTGGCTGGTGTTTCACGCGCCGCGTCATTCGGTATAGGCCATGGACCAGATGCAGAATATCTTCCGGCATGCCTTTACAAAAATCTGCAATTTTTTATGATTGTTGATCGAGAATGACTGCTAGAAAGGCCGATAGTAGCATAGAATCGTCAAAGAGACACCATAACGGGCAGAGAGACAACGCTGTTGAGTTGGGGTGAATGGAAAGAGGATGTGGGTAGCGAGAGGCGACGGTTGGATGGAGCATGGAGCGTGTGTGTGTGTGTATTGTTAGTAGCATTTTTTGGCCTGCGCCTGCGCCTTCGCCTGCGTCTGGCCCAAGTTCAACTTTGTATCGTCGACGGCGGCCTCCATCAGGATCACTCCATCTCCATCTTCGATCTCTTCCATCCCCTCGTTCCATCGAACCTTTGGCCCTGTTCCGAGCTGTTCCATTCTATTTATCACCTTCTTTGCTGTGTCTTGTTCATTATTGTAGCAACAGCAAGTTCTCCGTCACTCGTTCGTTGGAGAACCCCCTATTCGAATTCGTTGTTTAGGGACCTTGGGTTCTTTGTCCAATTTCCCGCAGCCATTCATCCTCTCGCTCAGCCACAATCACATTCTACGACGACTCGATCTTCGTCCCTCTTGTACAACATACGAAAGTGCACTCGCTGAAATACGTTTCGTGACCTTGTTTCCACGCAGCCTTTCTTCGACGATCGCCTACGGTCGCTGCACCGAACAAATAAATACAACATACACTCAATGCACACAATGGCAGGCCGGGTTTTGCATTCCATTGCCTTGCTGGCGGCATTGGCACCTACCGTTTGGTCCGCCACGACTTGTGGAGGGGGCAAATTGTGCCCACAAGATACACCCTGCTGCTCACGTACGTATAGATGTGAAGATGGGGGAGGAGTACCCAGCTGATCTTATAATGCACAGAGTATGGCGAATGTGGTGTTGGCGCCTACTGTCTAGGAGGCTGCGACCCCGTCAATTCCTTCAGCATCGATGCTTGTGTTCCCGCACCTGTCTGTCAATCCAAGACATACAAATTTGACAACCTGGATGGAGTGATGGCCAACACCAAGTACCTTGGTGATTCCAGCAAGGCCGATTGGGTTTCGTCCGGGACGCCTCTGTCCTACAATGGCCAGGTTCTGTTGACCATGGCTGAAGATACGGTCGGCACGCTGTTGGCTAGCACACACTATGTTTGGTATGGAAAAGTCTCGGCCAAGCTGCAAACCTCGGCCGGCGCCGGTGTGGTGACTGCCTTTATCTTGCTGGGCGATTCGAAGGATGAAATCGATTTCGAATTCGTCGGTGTCGAACTCACGACTGCCCAGACCAACTTTTATTCTCTGGGTGTTACCAACTGTAAGCTCCCCAACCCGGTATGCGATTTGGTAGGATGGTGTGACTGACTGGTGTGTAGATAATAACGGCTACAATGCTACCGTTTCCTCCGACGTCCACAAAAACATGCACGAATACGAAATCGACTGGCAGCCTGATACCATCACCTGGTCCATTGATGGCAAGGTTGTGCGAACTCTGAACCGTGAAGATACCTGGAATGCAACGGCGAACCGCTACTCTTACCCTCAAACTCCCGCCCGGGTGCAGCTGTCACTTTGGCCCGGTGGTCTTGCCAGCAACGGTCAAGGTACGATTGACTGGGCCGGCGGTCTTGTGCAATGGGATTCGCCATACATGACCAACGGGTACTATTATGCAACCTTTGACGAAGTGAGCGTCGAATGCTACGACCCTCCTACCGGCGCCAACATCAAGGGCAACAAAACCTACATCTACACCTCGACTGATCTGACCAACGCCACCGTGGAAATCACCAACAACAAGACCATCCTCAGTTCGTTTTTGGCTAGCGGACTCAACATGTCGGCCGGCGCCGCCAGCGGTACGGCCAGTGCAAGCGGCTCCACCAAGACCAGTGATGTGGCCACTGTCCCTGGTCTTACCGGAGCAGGGCCCGGTAATGATGGCCAGCGCGGTAGCAATTCCTCGGACAGCAGCAGTGATAGCGACAGTGGTAGTGATTCATCGGAAAGCAGCACGGCCTCTGCCACGGGCAGCGCCTCGACAGGCTTTGTTCAAGGCGATGGTGGCTCCTCTTCTGGCAAGAACGGCGCGGCTCAATATGGTGGCAACAGCGAGTCGGTGCTTCGAGGCAGCCTGTTCGCCGTCGTTGTTGCCCTCGTGGGTCTCTGCGTCTTGTAAAATTTGAATTGGATTTAGACCAGACTTGGACCATTGTGCATTTGGAGAATGCTTGGGCGGATGCATAGAGATGCTTCTTCTAGCCACTTGTTTGTGTTGTCAATTGTCGGGTGGCATTTATGCATGGCGACGGTTCGCATTGGCCTGGTACTTTTGGTCGTAGGAGTGAAATATGGGTTGAGGTCGTGCTCGCTTTTCTCAGGCGGGCTGCAGTTTTTGTACCTTTTGATATGGAAGTGTAATGCCAGGAAAACGTTGTTTCAAGCTTCCACGGACCAGATGTTATATCACCGGCGCGAAAAAGATAAATAGGTCTGTTGTCAACGAAGCTGAATCCCTTGTACGGGGAATAGTGATATCCAAGGACTAGATTGGCGCAGCAATACCAGTAGTATTATTACAGCACAGTGGAACAGTGGTGCAGTATACTATGTAGTATGGAGATGAAGTCATGGTTCTTCCCGGCCTCTGCTTACTACTTTACCACTCCCGCAATTTTTCTGGCTGTTCCTCTTCTCCTACCACTGCTACAGCGGAAGCTATATGTTTCAACGATAGTACGGCAACCACCGCGCCAATCTCGGTTCTCTCCATCACCATTTCCGTAAATCAATTTACGGCGGTCCGTTGTCAACAGGCTTCGGCGAAACGGCGTTGGACTGTTGACGCTGTGCAAACGAGCCCGCTGCGAAGAAGCTATCTTATCGATCGATCTAGGAAGAAAGTGTGTGTTCCGCTGGGCTGTTTTTCCGTGGCTCGAATTCGATCGATCTCACGGAGAAGATACAAAAGGTTTTCTATGGAAGTGATACGACCATACAACAACTGTGTTTATCCTGAGCGAAACGATTCGACCCTACGGACACACCGCTTGTGCAGACACACGTAGAGAGACTGCGTGATCGGGAAAAGAACGGCAGAAGGACACGCGGCCGCGTCTAGACACTGTTGGCTTGAAAAGTCGGTAGGGCGAGGGCTCAGGAGTTGCTCGGTACGGTGTCTGGCCCAAAGACGCAGGAGCAGACTCGGAGACGGAAGAGTTCAAGCAAGACATTTCCGAAGAAAGTAACACCATCGACAGTCTGCTCGGTCAAGGCCACGGACAAGAAGTCGCTCCGTTGAGGCGATTGATTTCTTCCACGTCAAGTCCTCCGCGCAGTTGCAGCATTTGCTTCATCGAGCGAGTCCAGATAACCGGAACCGCATTTCAGAGCCCTGCTTTCTAGGGCCATATAACATTACAAGCTGTGCTCAACTACATTGGATATACTTGATTCGACGTCGACACCTCCCAGTCCTAGTACATTACTTCGATCGATTGTCCATTGACCTATTCAGAAATGCGCGCTCCATCAACAGACCTGCTCAAGGCTTTGCGCCTTGCCACGACCACTACTTCGCTGGCCACTTCGGTACATCCAACATGCCTTGCAGCTAGACACACAATCCGTCCCTCCAATCTATCTACATCCTCTCAACCGAGCAATCGCACCTTCAGGACTTCTGCTGGTCTTCTCGGCGTATACAAGTCATCCGGACGTGATGGTTCTTCCTCTCAAAGAGCAGATACCACCAATGCGACTGGTGCCACTGCCCCCAACGCAACCACAAACAACAAGACGGCCACCACCGGCACAAGCAGAACAGTAACATTGAATCCATCCACAAAACCCAACACGGCCTCGACAAGTATCAAGCCGCCCCCTCGCTCAATTCCGAATGCTGCATCGCAACCGCCATCACAACCCCACCCACAGCAGAACTTGCTCAACCCACGAGCACCTCGCACACACGACCGTGGCCCCGTCTCCGAGGAAGACACACAGACAGATTTCGAAAGGATGGACATCCTCGCCAACGCCGGCGCCACGGCTCCCGCAACATCCATTGACGCGTGCATCCACGACGGATTCCACCTGAACAACGGCGTCCAGACCCGCGGCGGACTAGGTGTATTGTTACTTGACGGCGAGGCCTTTGTATGGGCACCGTGGAAGGCGGATACGGCTACGCCTTCGTCCAACGGGTTTGACCGATTCCTCGACCCCCGCCGCGGAATCTTGTCGTTCCCACCATCTTCGCTCGGCATCTTCGACCTGGTCTTTCCCAAACCAGACCTGTTGATCATTGGTACAGGCGGGAAACTGTGGATGTTGTCGCGCGAGACGCGCAAGTTTCTGTCCGAGGAACTAGGGATCAGAGTCGATGTCATGGATACCGCGAATGCCGCGGCCGCATATAATCTGCTTGCTACGGAGAGGGGTGTCAAGGAGGTTGCTGGGTTGATGATTCCGGATGGATTCGTGGGGGCATGATTTGAATCCGATACCACAGTTGTATAGGTCCTAGTATTAGTACTGGGCGACTCATGGCATTTGTACTGTACCATGATGAGTAAAAACGGTTGGTTGATATGTTATTCACCCCGAAGAAGAAGATAGATACCCATCTAGCTTGGTTAGGTATCTAATAAAAGCAGGGAGCTTCACTGGCAAAAGTTGTCCATCATCATAACTACCTAGGAGGTACAGGTACTTTTCTAACGTACTAGTATGTAGACAGACCTTAGCTGCTATGTCGAAGCTTGCTCTTTTGCTTCCCCTCTGTCTGGTCCTGAAGCTACCTACATACTTGGCTGGTCCGACCTTGTGATTTATCCTTTTGTCCACTCTGCTTTCCTGCCCGCATGATAGGTGCCAGTCAGATTGTCAACCACCACAGGCTCATGTAATAATCAATACTCCCTGCTCAATCGAATATCGGGCGCCTCTCAATGATATTCGCTCTCACACCAACGCCACCATCATCGTCGTCGCCCTCATCGTCATCGTGATCAAAGTCCGGTCTCCTCTCCTCTATCCAATGAGGATGGGGATCAAATCGTACTCGTCTTCTCCTGCTTCGGCGTCTGTTTGCATGTTGAGGACCAATTGCCACTGGCCCCATCATTCCCAGTCCCTGACCCGGCGCAAATCCAAGTGCGTGTCGATACGGTCCTGCTCCCAATCCCTCAGCGAACCGCCAATCCATCAGCGGATCAGCAGCAGCATCTCTTTCAAGATCCCTGTTGTCCATAAACACTCGTGGCTGTCCGTCCCGCCGCACGCCTTGCATCACGGCGCCTCGCGGTTCGCGAACGAGAACCAAAGGCTCCGGCTGACGCGGCATAGGAATATCCAATCTAGGTTCCGGTGCGACCTCCCATTGCTGTTGTGCTCGTTGCCGCATTATAGGATACTCGGCGGCGAACACAACTTCCTGCCAGGGTAGAGGCATGGGGAGTCCACGCACTCGTGGTGCTCCTATCGCTGCCACTGCTGCCGCACCAGGAGGCAAGTTGAACGGCGGCCGTCTTCGTCTTCGAGGTCCATCGGGCCCGGGACCACCTCTCGGTCGTCTCGGAGGTGCAACAGCAAACCAGTCAAGTGGCGGGTTCGGGATACGGCCACGGCCACGGCCACCCCAGCCACGATCGTGGTCGTCTTCATCACGCGAACATCGACAGACACACCATGCCACGAGGATCACGGACAAAATACATGCAACGATAGTAATTGGAATCCAGACCTTGCTGTTGTTCGATTCGGGGTCGGGTTTGACCATGATTTGATCGCACTTTGGCCGAGGTCTCGCTCGTGATGAAGAAGCGAGTACCAAACTTGCATTTGTTTGTCGGATTGCAGTTCTCCTTTCTTCCCCTCCCAGACTTTGTTTGGCGACACTCAGCGATGCACGGGAGTCGAAGAGGAAGACGACACAAGACAAGATAAGTCCCCGGGTAAGAACAACTGGATCTTGTATAGCCTTCTCACTTCTTGAGATTAGAGGTCAATCAGAGAGTCAAAGCCGAGAAAGGAGAACAAGGCAGATGTTCGAACAGTTAAGTAGTCTTGTGTATGACCAAGTCGGGCAACTACCCATCCTAACCGTTTTCTCTTTGTGTTTCTCTCTGCCTGGATATGTTGTTCAGTTCCTGTCCCAGGGCAAACGGTATAGTTTGATTCCCTCCATGCTTGATCCATCCAAAATTTCAGTCTGGGACATGAGGTGAAAAACGGAGTTATCCTGTTTGACAAAACCAAACAAAGGCAGAGGGTGGCCTCAACCCAGAGGTCAAAGCCCGTGTTGCACATGGTTCAAACAGTGTCCTATGCCGGATCAACTGCAGCAACAAACGGAGTAGTCTGGCCGTCTTTGAAGGTCTTGCTTTAGAGACGCCTGACGATCGCAGCGGCTCAGTCAGCAAACCCCTTTTGTAGTTGTCACAATCGGACCAAGTCGATCTCCTTGGGAAAGAGAAGGGTAGTCCTCTGTACAAGTCCTCTGTCTCAATCAGTAGATGGCGTTGGGATAACTCTCAACAGCTTCGGGTTGGTAAACATTGGCGAAATCGGCCTCGCCAATGTTGGCTCCATAGGCATATGTGTCGAGAACCATCATAGGATTGAAATCCGAGATATTATACATGTGTTGAGTGGGGTCATGTGGACGAAACATGCCCTGGTTGTGCGGCATGTGGTGTTGATGTGAGCCCGGGACATGCATCTCTTGCGGTCGAGGTACGGCATGGCCGTGCATATTATGCTGCCTACGCATGGGTAGACCAGGCGCTCCGGGCGGGTGATGGCACTGGTGGCTTTGCGGCTGGATGGAATGCGAATACTGGTATCCTTGAACGTGTACTGAAACAGTGCTATCCGAGCGGGGATTGGTAGCACTCGATGATTGCTCGACTGGCTCGTCGTCTTCAATCGTAATAACCTTTTCCTTCTCGTATGTCCTCTCAGTCTGGACCACCTTTGGCGAAGCAGACAAACGAATCCGTTTCCTCGGTGCGGGACTTGTACTCGGACTCAGCAATGGTGGGACCATGTCGACAGAGGGAATGTCGCTGGAAAACTCCGGAAAGCGTCTGAAGATGTCTGGTCCCATGGTCCAACATCTGATATCGACTAATCGCTGTTCGAACATGGGAGACATCTTATACAAGCCTGTGCTGGTCTCGCGGGTGTAGCAATCACGGAATTCATACGGCCATTGAATCCTCAAACTCTTGCAGAACAAATACCAAAAATCGTTTCCACAGTAGTCATGCTCGTTGAAGATGAACCGTTCGCGCAAACCCGGCCAGGCAAAATAGTCGATCGCGTACGAATGCGCCAAATTCTGTGAAGGCCGTCGCATATACCACGGCGGTAGACGTTCGTACCGCTCGGCGGTGGACTCTGTGTGGAACTGAAGGAGCAAATGCATGGCTCTCATTATAGCCAGCCGTTCAGTCTTGGGGCATGTGCCGAACAAGGTCTGGTCAATCTGTCGCAAGAGCTGCCACGTAGGGTGTAGAGGGCCTCTGCGGGCGACCGCATCCCAGCCCTCGATCAAGGCACGAATCGGCACGTCTTCCTCGATTTCTGGCGGGGCAGCCTGGACATTACTCCAGTCGAATCGCTCACTCAGCACCTCGTTGGCGAATTTCCAGTAATTTCCTTGGTAGACGGGACGACGACCTGATGGACGCGAGCCATCGTAACAGCTGTGGCAGGAACACGTATGTCGAGGTGCGGCCCAATTGTCTTGATACCGCAGAGGGGCGAGATTCGGATGGATGGCAGCCTTTGACTGCACGACAGCTTTAGGGATCGACTGCGGGTTGTTGGTGCTATCCAAGCGGACAACTTCGGGCGCAAACAGTTTCTCCGGTGCCGGCAAAGGGTGATTTGGTGGAGGCGAATAGTGGACAAGCTCGAAACTGCGAGCGGCACTTATTTCGGAAGGAATCTCGACAGCTTCGGACTTCAAGCGAATGGGAGTGTCATCGGAGAGGGAAGTGATGCTACGTTTCCGCTCGACGTTGAGGTCTTCAAGTGGCGTCTGCGACTTTTTGGTGTTCGCACCATGTGTCTGATCCTCCGAAGCCGACGTTGGCTTGTGTATATCCATAGCTTTTTGAATGTCTTTTAATGTCTTTGCCATCAGGTCTCGCTCGGTTTCGACATCTTGCAACTGCTTCATCAGCGTGGCCACTTGCCCGCTCGAATCCTGGCGGCGAAAATCCTCCACGAGGCCCTCGAGGTAGGCGATGCGGGACTTTGTGCGTTCTCGAGCTTGACGCTGGCATCGTCGGTCTATTTCGCGTTTCTTCAACCGTCGCGAGGACACCCCTTTGTTAACCGTATCCTTCTCCTTGGCCTCGGCCGAGTCGACGGGGCTCGACGACTGGCCAGCGGCAGGTATGTGCGTGGTCATGATGCCGGTTTCTGATGGATTTGGATTGATGATGCTTGAGGCTGAGGGCTGGACAGAATGACGATGAGAGGACGGAGACGGCGGGTCTATCAGAGAGGAGCAGACATGATCTGTAGGCGCCGAGCATGCGGAGGCCTGATCTTCTCAAGGGACGGGGAAATGTGGAGAGCAGAGAATGGTGTTATAGCGTCCGAGTCTTGAGCGATGAGAAGAGCAGACGGATCAGTCTATACCCTTTCCTTCGTAGTCGCGGGCCGTGGAGGTTGAGTTTCGTCGCGGGTGGGAGGCCTGAGGAGCCGTCGGTTTTGAAGGCAGATCAAACTCGCGCAGATTGGCTGCGTGCCCGAAATTGTGGCCTCTGCCTTCAGGTTTAGTTTCCGACCCCAGACCGTATAGCACCGTGTAGCTTGGTCCTTGGTCCTTGGTCCTTGTTCCTTGCGCCAGTACGTACAATCCGACGTCTACAGTGGTAATACTACATTGTACTATCAATCATTATTACCCTTGCCCACAGACCATTCTGTTGTAACTGCCAGTGTCCCAGCACACCCACCGCCATCCTGTCACCCCCAGACTCTTCTCGTTCACCTTTCCTCCTGTAGCAAGGCTAACGCGCCCAATCAACAATGGTGCCAATCACCCAGTCTACAATCAGCCTCGTCAAGTTATTGACATAGGAGCTAGTTGTTTGCTGAGATGGTCTCCTCGGCTGAGAGGTCTCCGCGCTATTGATCGACTCGACCGGGATGTCTATTCTCCAACCTGTCGACCTCCATTGGGTTTCGGGTGGACGGGAATCTCGATCTTCGTCCATACCGTCATACCGCGTCTGTCAAATCGTTGCCCTTGCACCCTCTGGACAGCCCATTGTCGATCGAGGGTCAAACACGAGATGGCTGTCCACACGACACATGTCTGAAGCGAGCCTACTTCTGTGCTCACCCCTGATATTTCACCTGTCTACCCGGCTTATCCCAACATGATGAGCTATGAGGTGTGCGAAGCCAGATAAAAGGGATGCAGGTGTCCAAGCGAAGGGGCCAAGTTGGCAACCTCCCTGGCATCGATCAAATGCAGGGCAAAAGTGACAGACCGGGACAATAAAGTTTGTTTAACATCAGTGTACTATGTCCACGGGGCCTGGCCGGAGCTAGCGAGAAACTATCCGACGAGTCGATGCTTCGAATGTTTTCACAGCATGACACCCTTCCGGTGTTTCATTGTTCTCAGGCAGGAATTCACAGATCGACCAAAGACAGGACCGGCCACAACTCGATCATTCGTCTACGGATGGAACGGGAGTTGTTGAATGAGTCAATCGGCAACAAACTGTCTTCGCTGTCTTCTTCTGCCAGTGTCTTATGGGAAACAGCACCCCCCCC